GGAGAAATGCATCTGCACGCTGCCGTCCTCGTTCACCGTCACCGCCAGCTTCTTCAGGGTTCTGTTCCCGCAGTGAGGACAGAAAGCTTTGTTCATGTCGCTCGTCGTCCTGGAATCGAAACATTTAACAGGTCAATGCTCCTGCACGGGCGACCCCTCGCTGTATTCTCCTTACAGCCTCTAAGAACAGGACAGGTCACTAACATCTGTCCGTCTGAGGAACATCTGTCCTCTCATGTTAGGTTTGTTCCAACCCTGCACTCCACGCTCCATCGTTCTGATCCACTTTAACATCTGTGCTTTTTCTTAAAGCAGGCGTGGGCAACTCCAGGCCTCGAGGGCCGGAGTCCTGCAGCTTTTAGATGCGTCCTTGATCCAACACAGCTGATTTAAACGTCTAAATGACCTCCTCAGCATGTCAGGAAGTTCTCCAGAAACCAGGTAATGAACTAATCATGTGATTCAGGTGTGTTGACCCAGGGTGAGATCTAAAACCTGCAGGACGCCGGCCCTCGCACCCCTGGTGCAGAGCCACTTTAATGGATTATATTCAGATTTTTACATGTTTTATTTTGACCTTATTTACATCTGTATCTCTGGAGCACCTTTATTATATTTTTCTATGTAAGCATCATTTTTACTGTGTTTTATTATTTTTATTTTAACCTACTCAAGCAGTAATTTAATACATTTATTTATTTATTTTATTCCTTTCACTGACTTTGTCCATTTTATTTATGTATTAATGTATTTTTATTCTTTTAATAAAGCAGTCCTGACTTGTTCACTTGTTCAGCACCTTTATTCTACTCTTGATATAAATTTAAATGTTTTAAATGTCGTGTTTTGTATTTTTCGCTGGAACGGATTCGAGCTGCCTCCCTTTCAGCCTGAAGAGGTTTTGTTAACTTTGTTCGGACTCACTTGAAGCAGGCGTGACATCTCAGGATGTAGTTCCTCGCCTGTTTGATCAGCATCCCGTTCACAGAGAGAACGTGAAGTCCGATCTGAATGAGAACGTTCTGGGACACAGACAGCGAAAGCTTTTTGAAGCAGGAGAATATTTATTCACGCAGCGGTTTACTGAAACCATTCACACAAACCTTTAGACAGAAGGTGAAAAACAGCGAATGCACCGTCTGCATCCGTTACCTGCATGGCGAAGTCGGTGGTGAGACAGCCGACTTTGATGTCAGCTGGAGCCGTCCAATCAGCGGAGTCCATTTTCACCTCTTTGATGTTACCGGGAGTGATCCATCCTCCTCCATCGTCATCGTCCTCCTCGTCATCTTCGTCATCAGGCTCGTTCTCTTTGTCCTCGTCGTCCGATTGGCCCGCCGACGCCCTTTGCTCCGCCCTCTTCTCTGTCTGTGGTGATTCGTTGCCCTCTTTCTGTAAACAAACATCATCATCATCATCATCATCATCATCATCACTGCAGTCTGACAGGTGACAGAAGTCATGACTCAATGAGAGATGTAAAATTCCTCCTTTGTCTCCTTGCTTCCTCTCACATGCATCCTTTCCTACGGGGAGATGTTGAGGAGGAAACCCTGTTTATCCCACGCCATCAACGTCAGGAACGTTTTCCACACGATTCACTATTTACACATTTACACAAGAATAAGACCTCAGATCACACTTGAACTACTTTTTCTCTTGAAATGTGCTGCAGTAGGTGGAGGTGGAGGTGGAGGGCATGCACATGAAGTTCAGAGGCTGCAACACAACAACAGAAATAAAAGGGTAATGCACTGATGCACTAGAGTCTGACTGGCGTGTGAAACCATGCAAACACAAAGACGCCTGCAGCCCTCAAAGTCTCATGGAGGCTCCTTTAAATATGAACGAGGTCTCCTGCAAACTGCAGCCGGTGACACGAGCCGGTCACTGAGGGGCTGAACCGAGGCTCGGAGGAACACAAAGGATTATTCTGAACTGTGAATCATGCAAAGCTGCTCTACGAGACTCCCAGCATGAAAACATTCTTCCCTTTCAACTCACCAGTAAACCCAGCAGCTCATCGCTGAAGGTCAGGAGCGGATCCCTCCAGAACAGAAAGCTGGTGAACTGGTCTCCGTCCGAAGTCGTCCGTGTGTCCGCTCGTTTCTGTCCACCGCTCGATTTTAAACCCTCCGCTGGACCCTGACAGAGCAGCAGCGATAACACACACGCTGTGTTTACGTGCACAACCTGGAGACACAATCTCTTTTCCAACAACACGGCACCCAACTCCATTCATCCACCCATGCCTCCATCCATCTGTCTGTCCATCCATCCTTAGTGGCCGGGAAAAACACATGTTCCTCTCTCCAGACATTTTCTCGGGAATTTCCACCCAGCTGTGAGCTTTAACCTCTCCAGCGTGTCCTGGTTCTGTCCTGGGGGAAACAGTTAACCTGCAGCGCTGCAGGTTTTCTGGTCGGATCCCCAAAGCACCCTAGCTGGCTCCCTTCAGTGTGGAGGACTAACAACCACTGCACGATGTTCCAAACCAGTTCCACATGTTTTCACAGGAAAAAAACCCAGTAAAGACACAGCACCACAAAGCCTCTGTGCTCAGAGGTGGAACCACGCCACTGGCTGTGGGAGGGGACAGACATTCACACATGCAGCTCACAGAGTCCGTCCTCCATGATTTTATTCTGTGGATGTTACTCAAGAAGCCTGTTTTCTACGATCGCTTTAAGACACGTTCACAGAGGAAAGGTTCTGAGCATTGAAACTATCTGTGCAAACACAGGCGTCTGTGTCAGCAGAGGGATTTAAAACCCTCTGAGGAAGTCGTTACAGCGAGAGTTGGTGAGACTGTGAGGTCCAGGTGCTCCTCGTCCTCTCGCCACGGCATGAAGTCTCAGACTTATCGTGCTTTTAACGTTTGTCGCATCAAAAATACAAAAGAATAGAAAAAGTCTGAGGAAATGAAGACGAGCTCCGAAACAACATCAGAACAAAGCTCAAAATTGTGTATTTTAAAAACTAAGCACAGACGAAGGTCAGCAGAAGGTACGTCGTCCGATTTTCCCCAATTTTAACTGACAGCGTAAAGAAACGAGAGATTTACAAGAAAGGAAATAACTTTTTTAAACACTTTGAAAGGAGTCGAGTATTTCTGTCTGTGACGTTCAGATTCTCCTAAATCTCTCAAATTTGGTTTCCTGATTAAAATAATTTCACATTATGAGGAAAAGATGCAAAAATTAAACGACAGAAACTTCTTGTTTTAAAGCTACTGTCTCAAAACATCTACGATCGAACCAAAGAGAGCTGTGTTTCTTTCCTCACCAGTAAACCCAGCAGCTCGTCATCGATGGCCGGCAGCGGCTCCCTCCAGAACTGGAAGCTGTTGAACTCGTCGCCGTCGGTCTCGTTCGGCGTCTTCTTTTCCGTCTCCGTCTGTTGGACATTCGTGCTGTCCGCAGGTTTCTGAAGACGCAAACACAAAGTGAGAAAACGTTCCTGACTGCACGCCGGCCTGACGGCTGACACGAGCGTCTGACTCTCACCTTGGAAGGAAAGTGGAACCCGGCGACGTTCATCGGAGTCTCGGGGTGGCGCTGCGTGCTCTGAATGTTCACCTGGATCAGAAAATAACCAGAGGAGTCTGAGTTTATCACAGTGTGGAGTTAAACTTCTACATGTCTGCTTTACAAAGTCAAGAACAGAATAGAATAGAATAGAACAACCCTTTATTGGCATTGTACAACAAAAGTATGGGTGCAATGAACACGCGAGGCTAACTGCACAGGAGTAAAAATATACATAAATATTAAACACATCAGGAATAAACAGCAAACAGGAGCGCGAGTCTGTGTGCTGCAGGTACCTTAACCTCCGGCTCCTTCCTCAGGTGCTGCGAGCCCACGTTCTCCAGCTCCAGCTGGTAGGTCAGAGCCAGGACTTTGATGTCGGTGGCTGAGAGACTCGGATAGTCTCCGGTCTTCTTGGAGAACTCTGTCACTGAAAACAGACACAAGGATGTTAGATCACACCTTTACAAGAGGTTTGGGATTCAGACGCCCGCTCACCGTGTCTGATGTGCTCTGGATGAGGTTCCTTAAAGTGCAGCTGGTACGGCAGGAAGGCCAGGCTCCTCCTGGTGGGCTTGTCTCGGATCTCTTCCACCACATCTTTCAGGGTGTAGATATTCCTGCCGATTTCCTACCAAATAAAACCAACAGAGTGAGATAACATCGGGACGCTTCAGCCTCATCTTTATCGTGGCAGCAGCCAGAATTCGTTTTTTAATCCGCTTCAAGCTGAAATCTTCATTAAAGTTCCAGTGAATATTTATTTTACTAAACAAGGTTTTTTCTCCGTTAACAGTCTGAGAACAGAGACCAGATCCGGACCAAAAACCGGTCCATCTACGTTTAAACCTGAACTACAGCATCCGGTGATGCTTTGAGCACCATTGATCCAGATCTCCTTTCTCTGGACGACATTAAAGATCCGGGACCAGATGAACACATTTAACTCCGTTTTATGGTCCTGGATCATTTATTGTCCCTGTGAAAGCAGAAGACGATCCGGTTTCTCGGTTTGTTGTCGGGGACCTGTTGGCCTCCGGCTCCACGCTGAGTCCTCTCCCCCTGGCTCGCCTCGCTGACACCCCCGGTCTCTGAAGCCCCTCTCCCGGGTCAATCACACCCTCACAACCCGGTCCACCTGTATCAGGAGGGACAGACTCACCTGGAGAGGAGCTTTCCTTAAAAACGCTCCTGCATCTGCGACAACATGCTCTACCAGGGTGGTCGCCATCTTGGTTTGGCGACCAGCAGCGGGAGCGACCAATCAGAAGAGAGGGGAAACACTCGTGACACGGAGAAGCCGAAAACACGTCATTCATGTGGGAAAGTTGAACTTAACCATTAAAGTTGTTTTTAAAAAAGTGAAACGTTTGTTTTCTTATTTAATTCGTGTATTGTTTTAATCGATGTATTAATGTAACTCATATTTTATATACAGTAATTTTATAGAACAGGTCGCGGCTGCTATTGCGTGTTGTTCCCACTGTCCTGAACGTCACGTCACTTTAGCGTCACGTGGTGTTTGTTGACGGTAGGAGAGTGAGAAAGATGGCGGCCCGCTGGAGCAGTGAGAATGTTGTGGTGGAGTTTAGAGACGCCCAGGTGAGTTTTTCTTTTTTTATTTATTTTTATTTTTATATTTTTTAATTTCATGTTTGTACGAAGCGCCTGCGCGCGCAGGTCAGGGAGCGTTTAAAGTCTCGTAAAAGAGAAAACTGCTCAGTCCAAGTTGAATCACCCGGACTTCTTCTTAGTGTTTGTTGTAGATCGATCCAGTTGAATGTTTTTAATCGATTAATCGATGGAGTTGTGTATGTGGCACCGAATGTGTGGAGGATTATAAATGTAATAATGAATTACTCGGCAAAAAAAAATAAAAGTGTGTATGTATATATATATATATACACCAACAAACAAAGAGTAACTCCAGATTAATGAACGTGGATCAATTAGAATGAAAATTAAGTTATTCACAGCCTGAGTGATTAATCAGCCAATCAGGAAGTTAATCAGTAGTTCAGGTGATTGAATAGTTGTTCTGGTCACTTTTAAAAGCGCAGACTCATCACATTTTTGATAATCTTTGAATATCTGTATATGTAATAGTAAAATAAACAGAAACAAGTTGATAATAAATGATCATATCGGGTAATTTCATATCACCTGAAAGCTTCAAAGCTTCGTTGTGTCAGCAGCAAAGGTTACTTCGTCTTTAATCTCACGTTTAATTCAGGGAAAAGCACATCTGCTCTGAATGAGAGGAAATCTCTCTGAACTGAAGTTCGACGATTTTAATTCTGTTTGAATTTTGATTGTTACTAAAATAGGCACAGTGAAAATTACACGGCGTTAGCTAAAATAAAAAACTGCCACTGCTGCTTTTGTCTCGTGTTTTCAGGCCACCGCCATGTCCGTGGACTGCCTGGGCTCCCACGCTGTGCTGTCCGGGTAAGTTTGGGTCACCTGAACGCGCCACAGTCCTTTTTTCTCAAACAACAAATAATGAAATGTGTTTAATGTCACATCAGAGGCTCGTAATTATTCATTAGTCAGTTAATTATTCAGTTTCAGAGCAGCTCTGTCCGCTGAGCTACAATAAATGTTTGAGAGAAGGAACATAAGTGTAGTAATAATACATTGATAATAAGTTAGTATCAGAATGACAGGATACTTAAATTATTAAAAAGTTAATAAAGATAAAAAAGTGAAAACGATCTATATTTATGTAAAAAATCAACTTCATTATGATTTATGACATGAAAACATTTGAAATTTGCAGCTATGAAATTTTTTATGTCATTATTTAGAGTTTCAAGAAAGTCAAACTTTGGTTAAGAAAAGTCAAATATTAATTAAAAAAATTATTATTAATAAGAAGTTAACACTGAGACAAAGTCAGCTGTAATAAAATTTTAAATGATCTAAGATTAAGAGACACGAATGAGATACAGATATTGAGATAATAATAAATAATATATTTTCTTATCTTCAAATCAAATCACTTTTATTGTCACATCACATGTGCAGGTGGGCGGGTACAGCACATGTGAGTGAAATTCTTCTGTGTGAGCTTCACAAGCAGGTGTGCAAAATACAATAACATAAAACAAGCAAAATATAAGAATGGCTACATCTGAGAGTTATATGAATAAATATATGTACAATATAAGAGTGTATGCATTACTG